GCTGGCATGCCTTTTTATGGTATGGAAAAGCAAGGATTCATAAATATTTTAAGCAACACTGGATAAGAGCTTCACTAATGCATGTATGGGAGAACATACATAAGCATTATTATATAAAAATTTCAAAACTTACTGCTCCATTAGAAGCTATTACACTTCAGAACGTATACCAAGAAGAAACTCCAAGTAGGTATTTAGATATTTTGGACTCTGAAAACTAGAAGATCTACCATGGTGGCAAAGAGCGCAAATAGAGTCCAGATTTATTAAAGATAAGAGAATAGTGTTTTATAAAAACCTTACTGAACTAGAAAAGATCATCACATCTTCAGACCAGAAGCTTATACATAGACTTTATGTGTTGTTACTTGATGATTTCATGGTAGATGAAATAGTAAAAGGGAATATCATACAATGGGGCCAAAATATTGGTCGTACTATTAAACTTGAGCAATGGGACCAAATATGGAAGAAAAATATTAAGATCACGAAAGCAATTCCATATAAAGAAAATATTTATAAAATGTTTTATAGATGGTATGTAACACTTGAAATGTTAGCTAAAATTGACCAGAAGTGTTCTAATAAGTGCTGGAAATGCGAAAAAAAAGGTGGGGTCTTTTTATCATATGTGGTGGCTTTGTGAAAGAGCCAAAAAATATTGGATAATGGTGCATTAAATATTGTAAAAGATATTAAACTCTGTAATACCAGAGGTGATGTTATTGAATATGTTACCTGATAATGTTAAGAAAGAAGACCGCTATTTAATAGTATTTTTAACGACAGCAGCCAGAATCCTCTATGCAAAATACTGGAAGTTACCTGAAATACCCACAAAACGAGAATTTGTAAATAAAACTCTGGAGGCGGCAGAGTTGGATAAACTGACTTTATTGATCAAAGGTGCGACAAACTTGACTTTCCAGAATACTTGGACACGTTTTTATACATGGTATGATAAATTGGTATAAGCTTTTCTATAAACGAGAATAATTGTAATCTAATGAAAAATATACCCGCTTTAGATTAATAGTGTTAGAAAAGTTGCTTACACAGTTCAAGAGAAATTAGTATTACGGCGGAATGAGCATTAGCATAATTATGTATTGAATTGTGATTAACCCCCAGATGTTTGTATGTGTATTTGTTTGTAATTATTTGTTTGTTTGTATTCTATGGTGTGTTAAAATCAATAAAATCTCTGTCTCTTCGGAGGCAGAAGAAAGAAAGAAAGAAAGAAAGAAAGAAAGAAAGAAAGAAAGAAAGAAAGAAAGAAAGAAAGAAAGAAAGAAAGAAAGAAAGAAAGAGATTGTCTCATCCTCAAAAAAGAGTTATGCCCTCTCCATCAATTTCCCCAAAATGCTGGAAAGGATGCCAACAAACAGCTGATTTTGCCCACTGCTTGTGGGAATGCATTAAAATCAAGGCATTTTGGTTTGAAATAATTAAGATCATTGAAGAAGTAACTAAAGTGCAGGTACCATTTACACCAGAGACATTGGGGAATTTCACACTACCCAGTTTCTCCTGGTTTCAAGCCGGTAATCTTCCGTTTTGAGGTGAACCGGTACAGGGCTGCCATTTCACACATGGCTTGCCCCTACCGGAAGTGAGCCGGAACAGAAGCGGTTTGGCATTTCAGACACACACCGCTTTGTTTTCCCACTGTTTTCTCCCGTGCGGGCGATCAATTTTTTTTTAAAAAAAAACACGTTTGATTTATAGCGCTATAGCGCTATAGCAGTATAAAAAACACTCCATGCATTCCAATGGGATTGATATAGTGCTATTTCGTTATGGTGTTATTTCGCTATAGCGCTATAACGCTATAAATTGAACGTTCAAAAAAAAAAGCCCGCGCGGGCAAAAAAAGGCGGGAAAAAAGCATATCGGAACCGGGAGAGGGAACTGCAGACTACTAGGAAGCGGTTGACAGGTAAAACACTTCAGTCCCAGTTCCTAAACGGGACTGAAGCTTTTCTGTGTGAAATGGCAGTTACATTCCGGTAGGGAACCGATTCTCAAACGGGTTTAGTCTGAAATGACAGACCAGAACCCGTTTGAGAACCGGTTCCCTACCGGGAGATATCGCCTGTCTGAAATTCCTCATTATTTTTAAATACATGGCCACCAGAACTGCTTGAGAGACCAAATAAAGCAACTATTGAGATAATGCTTGATGCTGCTAAAACTACAATTGTGTCTTGTTGGAAAGATGCTAATGCCCCTACAATAGAAACCTGGTTCCGAAAATTATGGAATCACTACCTAATGGAGGCTGTTACAAACAAACTTGAAACTCAAGGACAGAACACAAAACAGAAGAGCATATGCTGGACCCTATGCTCATCCAGTTATTTCTATATACAGGTATGTAAGTTATACTTACCCTTAATTTATGAAAACTTATTGCACTTAGAAACTCTGTTTATTATATTTTTTATATTTTATTTTGTTTCAAAATATCAGGTACTAGTATGATTTACTGCTGCAAAACTATAAATTGTCTATATCTTTAATAATTTTGGACTATGTAAGTATACATGTCCCTGAACAATGTTTACATATGTCATGTTTCAAACGATAACATGTATATTTCCAGCATGTTGTAGCTTTATCTGTTATAGTTATGACTTAAAACAATAAAAAATGTTAAATAAAAAAAAGAGTTATGCCAATTAGTACAGACTCAGGTGACATAACAGGGAGTGCCAAAGATGGGCCGAAGCTCAGAGTGAGCGTTGTACATTTCTGGGCAGATCCGGATGGGTTCCTTCTGGTCCCTCTCACACGCCAATGGGAACTCATGCTGCAGAAACAAAAAACAGGGAGAGAGTGAAGTTCCCAGCTGGCAGCTTGAAAATTGGGGAGGGGAAATAGAACCCCCTGGCAGGAATGAAAAGGCCATCCAGACCAACCCTCTGCTTGGAGATAGGCCCACCTGCTCCTCTGCCAGCCCCCTACAAATGAAGGCCACCAGCCCAGAGGAAAAGTGGGTATTGGGAGTGAGAAGATGCTCGACAAGAGGGGCCTGCAGACCCAGTGGCTCTGGATGGCGACTCAAGGAAGTGAGTCAAGCTGCCCTTGCCTCACCAGATCCAAATGCCCAGCCCCTCCACGATTTCCAATGAGAGGCTGATCAAATGGGGTGGAAGGGTTGAGAAATTGTTCTCATTCAAGGGCTGGGACTATATGGCAAGTCTCAAAGTTTCTCCCAGAAGAAAGCAAAAGCCCCTTCCATTTCCCCACAGAACCCATGACCAAAAAACTTACCACTGACAGAGCTGTCTGATCCCTGGTCGCTTGCTGCAGAAGGGAGAAGAGGGAAGGGGGGGGTCAGGATCTCTCCCTGGAGAGGCGGGTGGTCCAATCTCCCTCCAAACCCCCTTTAACTTGAGCTGTGCTAAGCCAGCGCTCTCTAGGTGTGAGTCAACAAACGACTACTGAGATCGCTTAAATCATCTTTATTTAACTTCACACGCATTCAGAAGATCATTTACTCACAATCAAGCTGATAGCTGGGTGGAAAGTTACATCTTGTGATCTAGGTCAGTTCTATAGCCGTGGTGAGAAAAGAGATGGGCTTCCCCTCTCCTTGCAGTAAGGGTTGATGGACAAAGAAACGGAAAAGAACAATAAAACTCCTATCTTTGCGCCTCTGAGCTCAGGAAATTCCTCTTAATGAGCCAGTCAGAGGGAAGCTTCTGGGACCCTTAACTGTGGACTCCAATTCCCAGGTGCAACTACTCTTAAAGGTACATTAACGCTGGCTGGGGGCAGCACAGGGCGGGAATGTGGGGGGCGGGGAGAAGGATCTTCTTGAATTGTGGTTCTGCTTGGTAACTCTCTCAGCCTGCACTTCTGGAAAGTTCTGGTCACGTATGTCTTCCCAGAGGGCACCAGAAGAGACGTGGCTGCCTTAGGGTGACGGTTTCTGTAGGTCCTTCTGGTCTCTCTTCTGCCTGGCACCAGCTCTGCAGGGATTTGAATGAAGGTGTCATGATCTGGGCTGTGCAAGCACGGCCTAGCAGGCCCAGGAAGCCTGTGTAGCAGTGGGAGGAGGCCAGGCCTACAAATCCCAGAAGGCCTTGGGAAGTTCTGGAGCCAAAATTGACCAATAGGAAAAGAGGAGGGCTTGGAATAAGAGAACTGGTGGAAGAGGGAAAGCTGTTCTTTCTTCCCAGAGGGCAGAGTCAGAAGGAAAGCTGCTGCAGGGGAGAGACCCTCATCCTGAGGGAAGGGTGAGTAGTCTAAGGCCACTTGAGATAATGAGCTAGGGACAGTATATATATAATATAAATATATTTAGATGCGTTACGGCATTTGATTTCTTTTCTTTTTACGCACTTACTGTTATTATTCTGCACCTTGTTGTTTGATCTCCTATAAAAATAAACCTCTTATTTGTTGTTTACTCTGCCTGGTCCTCACGCCTATTATTCGGCCAAAAGGGAGGTCTGAAGGTCTTGGGAAGGAGCTCTGGGCCTTCTCAAGGGAACCTAAACCCAGAGTGGTGGCAGCGTCAGGTGATAGCCCACCTGAGTCATAACAGAAAGTCTTTCACATGACCTGATCCTTCCTTTGGAGATCCCACCAGGGACTGAACCAGCAACCTTCTACATGCCCAGTAGCTGCTCTGCCCACCCACCCATGCCCCATCCTTCTTGGTAACATTTTACAACTGTTATTCAGACGTGTCCTGGTAGGGGAGCACAGTGTCTGAAGGCACAACCGGATCAGACCCAACAACTCCTCCTAGCAAGAGAGAATCCAACAGGGAGATCTTCCTTCCTTTCGACTGTTGCACGCTTCTTCTCGGAGCGCATCCCTCAGGCTGGCAGCAGGCTGGCTGCGTGTGCCACAGAAAGTGCCCCCCCATCCAGATCACTTTGGCCTGGGAGGGGTGGTGGGCAGCTGCTTTCAGGCACAGCAGCCATCTCCCCCCCACACCCTTGTGTCAACTCAATATTTCAGGGAGGGGAGGGGAAATCACTCACTCCGTGCTTCTTGGTAGCTGTCTTCTTTTGGTTTTCCTGCAGAGACAGAATCAGAGCATCAGAATTGGAAGGGCCCTCCATAGATCATCCAGCACCACCCCCGGGCTAGAGCAGGGTTCTGGAGCCCACCGTCCCCCCATTGGTCTTGCAGTATTTTCAGGGCACCCTCTACAAAGTTATGTCAAGAAGACTTCCTGGGTCCCTTCTTAGAGAAAAGAAGTATCTACAGGCAGGAAACGGCCATTTTCTAGTATATGGTTCCAAGATGCTGTTCCACTCAATCCCCTACCCAACACAGCCCTGGTTTACTTACTGATGTAGAAGGTGACCCCGGCCCACACCAGGACGAGAGCGGCCATGATCCCCAGGACAACTCCCACAAGGAGCCCCACTTTGGACGCAGAAGCTGAAATGAGAAAAAACAAATGCTTCTACTCAGACTGGCCCCATATCTGCAAGACCTCAGCAGCAGAAACTATGGGGCTGAGCCTGGGACCTCCTGCATGCAGAACGTGGGACCCCGCTGCCGAGAAATCATGAAAGCAAAGAGGTTTGTGCTTAAAGCCACCAAATCCAGCTTGCTTGGAAGCCATGAATGTGGGTCTCTGATGGGCCTCCCTCCCTGGGGAGGGAATTTCTCTCAGAAGATGACCTCCCCCACACACATAGCCAAGGCTGGAGGAGGCTAAAATGGAGAAAGGGGCAAAATCATTGCAGGGAATGCCCAGAGCTGGTCCCAGCTTTTTTTGCACACTAGGCGAGGATACCTTCTGGCACACACACACACCGGTGCGCCCACCAATTTTCAAACATAAATGCATTTTAGGATCCATCTTGAAGATGCCAACACATGGGGAAAAGATCTGCATGCCGTGTACAACTCTCTGGGCACATCTGTTCCCCACCAAACATCTCAAAAGCTTCATGTCTTAATTCTGAGAAGCCGGAAGGAACAGAAATCTTTTCTTCTGTCTCTAAAAAAAGCTTGATGTGCTCTCTGGGAGATGACCTTGCAGAGCATCTCTGCCCTTAGAAGCTGCCCAAGCTGGGTCTGCAGAAGATGGCACACTAAATACTTGGATGGGAGACCTCCTTGGAATACCAGCAGTCGGGAGGTGGGGGCAGGCTTTATTCAGCCACCTCTCTGAATATCCTGCAGGCCCCACTAGGAGTCAGTTACCAGAGGTCGCCATGACTTCCAGGGGCACACACACTCACACATATGAAAAATTCAAAAAACCCAAACAACCAAACTTAAGAAGAGCCCTACTGGATCAGACCTGTGGGGTATCTAGTCCAGCATCCTTCTTGTCACACACAGTGGCCAACCAGTTCATCTGGTGGTCCAACAACAGGGCATAGCAGTTGAGGCCTTCATAAGAACCCAAGAAGGACCTTGCTGGATCAGGCCAGTGGTCCATCAACTCCAGCATCCCATCTCACGCAGTAGCCAACCAATTCCTCTGGAGGTCCAACAATAGGGCACAGAGGCTAAGGTCTTCCCCTGCTGTTGTCTCCTGGCACTGGGCTTCAGGGGTTTACTGCCTTTGAATGTGGAGGTTCCCTTTAGTCACCATGGTTAGTAGCCACTGAGTACATCATGGTTATATGATCAACCAGGGTCTCACCTTTTAAAAAGCTCTGTTTCTCAAAATAAAGAATGAAGAAGATCTATCATTTAAGTATGGCTGGTTACAATATAGACAGATCTATGACTTTTTCAAAAAAGATAAAAAAGCTTTTGGATTTAGGGAGAAATATAATGAGATTGAAAAGGTATGGTTTGAGGGGGGTAAAAAAATGATTTCTAAAATGTATAAGATATTGCTAAAATGGTATACAGAGGATGAGACGGTTAAGGAACACATGGTAAAATGGGCAATTAATATGAACAAAGAAATACTTATGTCATCTTGGGAATTTTTATGGAAAAATGCAATGAAAATATCAACATGTAATAATTTAAAAGAAAATTGTTATAAGATGATGTATAGATGGTATATGACACCAAAAAAGATTGCAAATATGAATAGTAATATGTCAAACAAATGTTGGAAATGTAAAAAGGTAGAGGGCTCATTTTATCATATGTGGTGGACATGTGACAAAGCTAAAATGTATTGGACTGATATACATGCAGAAATTGAGAAAATTGTGAAATGTAAGTTTAAGAAAGAACCGGAAATATTACTTCTGGGACTTAAAATGGAAGAAGTGAATATGAACAAAAGGACATTGATGTGGTATATGATTACAGCAGCAAGAATGACATATGCTCAATGTTGGAAACAGGACAAAGTCCCTGAGATTGGGGAATGGATTAAGAAACTACTTTTTATGGTTGAAATTGACAAAATGACAAGGAAACTTAACAATTTGGAGGCAAAAGAATTATTTGCAGACTGGAAAGATTTGAAAGACTATTTGGAGAAATACTGGGATGTAAAAGACAATTTGCTTAGTTTTGACAATTATTGAATGGTGAAAGTAGATAAAAGAGATAAATATATAAGAATAACAGCTAAATGATACGTTACCTGTAAATGGGAGGGGATAGTAAGAAAAGATTGAAGGGAGTTAACATAAAATTTGAGCAGGAGGTTGGAGCACTGTGGGAAGACGATAAAGGGGGGGTAAAGGAGGAAAATGATGTAAAATCAGTTAAAGTTGGATGTATGGTGGAATTTTTATTATATCCTAATAAAGTGTTTTTCAAAAAAAAAAAAAGCTGTTTCTCTGTTTGACTGCAAGGGGGCACAGGGAAGAAAATGGTTTCAGGCTTCCCTTCCATGGCATTTTTACCACCAGAAATGATGTGTGTGGGGGCTGTTTGCCCCTTCTTCTGGCACGTGTCCATAGCGCATGGAGCCTGAGGAAGGGACAGACAGCCCCCCACCCCGGTACCATTTCTGGTGGCAAAATCCTGCAGAAGGGAAGGCAAAAGCTCTCCCTTGCCCAAGCCCAAACAGAGACTGAGAGTTTTTGAATGGTGAGTTGTGTGTATTGTGTACTATAGCCTTTAGCAAGGTCTCACTGCAAGATGTTATTGTTGGAAATGTATGTGTTTACAAGGTCTGATGATTCAGTCATTATAGGGTTAACTTGTATTCCTAGTTTGCTATTGTTTAGACTGACCTGGAAGGGATACCTGGCACTGAGCCAATGGGGAATTAGCCCGGGAAAAGTAGCTTCTACTGTGAAACAGATTGGTCATTTGTATCAGGTGACTTCCTTTCTAGGGGTCAAGAAGAAGGAGAGAAACTCCATTATGTGTGTGTGCTTGTTCGACTGTAGGCAGCATAGAAATGTAGCTCTTAGTGTTATGTTGATTTGTAGTAATCCCGTGAACCCTTTTCCCTGAGAGCAACACTATTTGACTATTTTCCAACAAATCGGTAGCAGAGGGCCATTTATTCATTTAAAACGCTTGTTGGATAGAGAGAGAGAGAGAGAAACAGAGGCTTATTTTAAAAAGCAAACTATTTTTCCTGCAAAGTTTTTTTTCTACTTTTTGCCAGACAGAGCTGTGACCAGAAAAGGTGTGAGCACTTTTAATTCTCGCTGATTAAAGGGATCATCACCTTAATGCTGGTCTGCACTTTGGAAAGCAACTGAAAGAAAGCTTTTTGAATTTTTTTTTTTAAATTCGCCGCACCCCGGAGGGATGGAGGAAAGCCGAGCTGATTGCTTCACCTCTCCCAGCTGCTCAGCCTAAGAAAGGATTAACCCCGTGAGTCCCTGAAGATGAGTGAGGCAGAATCTTCCACAGCAAAAGCTGGAACCTCAACTCCTGCACCCAGAGAAACACCACCCAAACTTGTGAGTACGTTCCATTCCCCTGGCGAGACAGCAGCGCTTCAATTAAAATCTCACAATTTTCTTTGGTGGGAAGGGGTCCTTAAAGTGAAGCTTCAAATGCAAAGAGCCCAGCATGTCTTAACAATGGAACCCCCAACAAATGAGCCAGAGAAAGGTGATTTTGAACAACTGGATGGCTATGCTAAAAATCTAATTCTTGGATCTGTGGATCCTAACGATGTGCCAAATTTATATACTGTGGGGACATCAAAGGAAATGGTTGCATATTTGAAAAGGAAATATGGGGGAAGAACCACAAGTAAAATTTATTACCTGAAGGCTCAGATCTTTGATTTTAAAGTGAGAGAGACTGACCATTTGCCTGAGAAACTGGGAAAGCTAATGGGAATCTATAATGAGCTCAAGAAATTAGGCAAAACTCCTGATGAAATTGATATGATAACTGCTATTCTCAGAGGTCTGCCACAAAGTTACAAGAATCTAGCTATGACTCTGAGACACAAGGATAATCTAAAGCTTGAAGATTTACTGTTGATTTTGAGCTCAAGAAATTAGGCAAAACTCCTGATGAAATTGATATGATAACTGCTATTCTCAGAGGTCTGCCACAAAGTTACAAGAATCTAGCTATGACTCTGAGACACAAGGATAATCTAAAGCTTGAAGATTTACTGTTGATTTTAAAGGAAGAATTTGACTCAAGAAGCAGTGATGATGTGTTGTCTAATGAAATGTCTGTACTGAGTTTGAAACATGGGCACAGATTTAAAAGGAAAATTGAGTGTTTCCTATGTAAAGGGAATCATAAAGTTGCAGACTGTGAATTTAGATATTCCAGAGGTTTTGGATCTAATGCAACAAGCAGACAAAAGCCTTCTGAAGCACATGGTCACAGGGGTGAGACACCCAGTGGCAGAGGAAATAATGGCAGAGGTTTTAAACCGCAGACAAAGGGACGTGGAAATTTCCATGCTAGAAGAAAGGACCATGCTTTCAGAATCTGTGGTGATTTTGATGTTGAT